GTGTATTTATTTTCGTTATTGTTTTGTTTGTTTCTTTATTGTTTTTCATGCGTACCGTAATACAATATTCATCCAATAAAACATGTCCTTGAATACCGGTACATTAATGGATCATGATCGCAGCTCGGGTTCACCTACGACATCACTTACGACGACCAGGATTTCATGCCCTACTTCCATCCCTACTGTCGCGACTGTTCTTTTTGGGGGGGGCATTTTATTGGATGGGGGTTACCTTCACAATGTTATTTGTCCTGCCATTTCATCGTTTAAATGTGTTAATCGAATCTGTAAATGTGAAGCAGCGTGGTGAAATCAGGCACTCGTCAAAATATAATGAAAATCGAAGAAAACGGCGTCTTTCTTCCCATGAGGCAATTTTTATTAAATTTTGGATTATTGACTCCACACCTTTGATGTCTATTTAAAAAAGAATTAGCTGTGTGGCTTTTACTGAAAAATGTTGATTAAAGGCACAAGCAATGTAAATTTACAGTTTTCAAGAACTCTCAAGCTTTGGAATTCACCAAACTTTGGGGGGCATTTTCTCTTATTTTATCTCTGAAATCCAAAATATCACGAGTACTATTAAAGGTAGATGGATAATATTTTCTTCGAAAGCAAGACAAATGAACACGCTTAAAGATGATACCAAAACCTTCATGATTCATACCGCAAAAAAATTTACAAGCGCCTTATTCCATTGCATCGTGACACAAATTATGTCAAATCCAATACGCTCGGCAGTCAATTGACTAACATACCCGGGTCAGTAATTGGAATGATTACAGGGACTATATAGATCTATATCGATCGAACATTTCAGTGGTATAAGGCAAGATGGTTACAACTGCAAAAACACTGACAGTGCTTTTTTTTTTTTTAAGTAGAGGTTTTACGGCGCTCACAACTGCATAAGGTCATATGAGCGCCAGAAGATTAGAGGTGTTACAAGAGGGTAGCAAACACAAAAAAGAAGGAGGGGAGATAAGGACGATAGATATTTGATAGGAAAGAAGAAGCAAGCCACACCAGAGCACCCGCCAACCACCCACTGACAGTGCTTTGTAATAACTAACTGAAGCTTGAGCTCGGCAGATGTAAAGGTTATGGTATGTGTGTTATCAATTTGCCCGGCATCTGAGGTACACTCCCGTAAATCCAACCAAATGAAAGAAAAGACAAAATTTTCTTTTTTGCTTTATACCTGTGATTTTATGTTGAGTTCAAATATGAAAAAAAAGAAAAAAAAAAGTTCTAATTTCGTTTTTCAGTGAGGCTACACGATAAAGAAAAAAAATGTGTAGGCAAATTCTCTCTTTTTTTTTTTTTTATCCAACTCATATGTTAGACATTCGTATCGATTAAGAAAACAGCAACAAAAACTATTTTTAAAAAAATACTAACAACAAACAAATAAGCAACAAAGAAAAAAAAATCCTCTTCAATATTATTATTGTGACAGTAAATATTTAAAAGATCGCTCCTGCAAACGATGAAACTGCAAGTTCTAGAATTTACTTCCCAGTTATATTTCAGGCAGGGCTATATATTTCTAAGTTTATGCCTATTTAAGAGAACACACCCGAAAACACTCGTACGCACACACACTACATACTCACACGCACTGTCACACACACACACACACA